GCGGCGGCTCCACGCCGTTTCCACCACTTTGTTGGGGAGGGTGCGCCCAAATATCGGCTTGGTGTCATGATGGTGGGCGTCCGTGGTCCACGAACCCGGAAAACTGGTAGGAGCGCCGCTGGGCTTTCCCGAGGGGCTGTACTTAAGGTCGGGGTTCCGCATGGGAGTCCTCTTATCCGGGGTGGCTGGGCCGTGGGAGTCGGGCGAAGGCTTGTGTTCCCAAGAATCCTGCCATGACTTGTTGGGCCATTTTCCCGATGAAACAGGTTGACTGGCATCCTGCCAACCAGGGTTCCACGAAGAAGAATTCCATTGATCGTCTTGCCATGTAGTGCGGGACTTCCACGAGCGGTGGTCCCAAGACTTGTCAGACGAGACGGGCTTACTCCAGCTCATTGGGGCAATCAACAACGGGCCGTTCCGGGGGAATCAAAACAGCTGCAAGGGATCAAGCAGTGTTCAATTCGGTCCCAGAGGCAATGCGAGAAAGGTCATCAAAAGGTAATGACAATGCACGGTTGAGAAGCGGACTTTTTTCGAGATGCGAAGTCAAGTGGGGTGAGACTTGTCTGAGCCGGATTCGCACTCAAAACCGCACCTTGATTGGGAATAACAGATTTAACAAGTGGGCCCTCACCCGGCGAGGATGTTCAGCATTTCGGGGCCTGTCGCCTGTCCCCAGGATCCCCACTGCTGATCCTCCTTTACTGTAACGACAAATAAATCTGTCAAGCAAGCTGCCGACTCCCTAATACACCATCGCTTGTCTTTACTAGCGGAGTGGACAATCTCGTACCTTCGTGCGAGTTCTTGTTCCCGCCACGTGTCCGCAGACGTGGGCTTAGTGGATTTCCCTCGGCACCCGCCAGAGAAAACTAGGCCGCTCGCGTTCTTGGTATGATATGCGCATTGCCCAGCAAATGCAGCCAATTCGGCCGCGGTACCGCCCGCAAGGTGGGCCCTCGCAAAAAAGCCATAGCAGTCATGAGTGTCAGGCATGTTGAGTCCTTCACGTGTGCTCCTCATGACTTTGCCCGTTTTCAAAATTCCGATAGCCGACAAAAGGGTGGTGCCATGGTACCAGCGAACGTGAGTGTCGCCCGTGGCTTGAATGGACACAGGACCTGGCATGTCACTGAATGACAGTCTCCAAATGATGGTCTCTTCGGAATCAATCCAAGCAGGAATTGGTGTGCGGATGCGGCGTTGGTAATCAATACCGCTGGCGTCAGTGCGATCACTAAATTCTGCATGACCGCGGGGGACTGCGGGAACTCCGTAAGGGTGAAGTCCAAATGACACATCACCCAATTTAAACATTCGACAAATGGCGGAGCGGCGCAAAAGCGAGTGAGGGCCACCTCTGGCTGGAGCCATTCGGTGCGGCCTGCAGCTGTCGCAGTTTGATGCGGAGGTGGAATCCGAAATTCGGACCCCCGGGTTTGCTCCTCTAAGGCGCTGTACAAGTCTCGGGTGGTCAACTTGGCGAGGGCTGTACTTGTTGTCAAAGCATCGGTGCGTCCTCCTGAAGCATCGTTGGCCGATGTCTTACGGAGGCGGCTATTGGACGGAGTGTCATCTCGAGGATGCTGATCCTGAGATGCTGTCGCCTGTACACTGGCCGGAGGAGCAAGCGCGAGAGAGACCGTGCGTGGAGAGGCAGCTGCTCCGGGGTAGGGAGGCGGCGTTTCAGCCCGGGCATCCATCAAATTGGGGACTGCCTGACACGGTCCATGCGGGCCTCGAGAGTCTGGATTGCCAGATGTCTGGCGTGTTGGTCGTGCCGGCGGGTGCGCAGGCTCCGCTGGTCTCGAATTTGCATGCACGGGCGGAGGTGTTCGAGGCGGCGGACCGGGCTGAATTCTCGGACATGGTACAGGAGGTGGGCGGTGACTGCACATTGGCGGCCACGGAGTCTGCTGATAGGGTGATACACCCAGACCAGGCGGAGGCAGAGGCGGAGGAGCTTCGTAATGCGGTCCTGGCATCGGCGGTGCAGGGCAGCTGCTTGAAAAGTTCAAGGCCGCTGAGGACTGCGCGTGCGAAGCGAGCGGAGCAGGAATCACAGGTGGTGCAACTTGTCCGAAAGTTGCCGGACTAGGCTGTACAGGTGGCCAAGGTTGCACCAGGTGGTAACGATGCGTGTCCCCTGTTCGGGGATTCTGCGGTGCGGGCTGACTCTGCTGGCTCGGCTGACTCGGCTGACTTGGCCGGCTCGGCGTGGGATCGTAGGGATCCGACATCGGAGGGCGAGGAAACAGTGAAACATTTCCGGGTGGTCCTGCGGGTCTATCTTGGCTCCAGCGGGGATCCAGACGGACTTCCGAATTAGTGCGCTCGGGTCGTCTGCGACAGTCTCTGTGGGTCTTGCGACCTCTGGATCGGGAGCGGGACCTGCGTGGTGTCCGCCTGCGGTGCCTGCGCTGTCGAGATCTCGATCTTCGGGATCTCGACTTCTGTCGCTGGGAAGCTGGGGTCAAGGTGACCGCTCGGGCAGGCTGGGGGTCAGTCGGATTAGCATCCGGCAGGACATGCATGCGGATAGTCCCCGAATTAGGACGAGGCGGAGGCACTGGATGCGAGTGGTGCATCGGTTCCATGTTTCCGTAGAAATGGAACGAGTAGTGCGACATGTCGAATTGCACAGCGGTAGCAAACCTTGTATATGGTTCGTACAGGGAGCCAAATAGCTGCGGATCTGAAATCAGGTCAGAGTCATGGAGGGCCTTGGTGAGGCTCAAACTCTCGTGCACTTATTGGCTAATTGATTCGTCCGTAGGAGCTGTTCGTCGAAAGTCATTCGTTGTAAACTTTTCGTTGTAAACTTTTCGTTGTAAACCGAAAGGAATGATTCCAGATGAGTGCCTGCAACGCAGGCAGGATGAGATGCAGTAATGATGGGGTAAACTGGCCTGTCAAGTAGGCCACGACCATACGTTGTAAACAGCGATCGTTCCCGTGTAAACGTGCCAGAAAGGCTCCACCATATCAACGGCTCTTGTCTAGTGAGATAAACAGGGTTCTCTAGCAGGCAAGCTGCTAGGACTGCGCACTTTGACAGAAAGCACAGCCAGACACACTGGGAATGCCACGTCGGCAGTCAAACACCAAACGTTCAAACACGTAAACATGAGATGAAATGTTGCAAGTTAGCACTGAACCGTGCAAAGTCAGTGGCCTTAAGGGCGATTGTTAGGGGTGAGCCCTCCAGCTGCCCGCGACGGGACCCAGGAGCAGCTCTCAGGCAGGTACGTTTCACGAAAAGTATGTGGGGTCTTCGTTGGCAGCCGCCCACATACTCTTCCGGCTGCCCCTGCCGGCATGCACGAATTGCACGGATTTGACAAATCGGGGTACATACACGAACGTAGCTGAAAGCTTCTTGGTCTGGGGCAACCGCCGCAAACCTCTGTGCGTCAGGCGAATGCGTCCACTGATGTCCGCTGTGAACCGATAGGTCAGTAACGCCGTTCACGACAAACGTAGCTGAAAGCCACCTGGTCTGGGGCAACCGCCGCAAACCCGTTCACTGCTGGCGTGCATGAATTCCACGGATTTTGACAAACCTGGTTCTGCAGGTGGTTTGTACTGCACACACACACACACACACACACACACACACACACGCACGCACGCACGCACGCACGCACGCACGCACGCACGCACGCACGCACGCACGCACGCACGCACGCACGCACGCACGCACGCACGCACGCACGCACGCACGCACACACGCGTGCAGGAACGCACCCACCCACCCATCCACCCACCTGCCTGTCCGCCCGCCCGCCCGCCCGCCCGTTCACCCACGCACGCACGCACGCACGCGCACGCACGCACCCACACACACACACACATACACCACGCGCACACACAGACATACAGACACGTATACCTTTGCACATACGGGCAAACACACAATTTGGCAATTTACCTGATGGCTAACCACTTTCATCAGGGAATGGTTACACCCAAGGAACAAAAGGCCCCCCGCCTCAGTTTAAGAGAACATCCCCCAAAGGAAGGAGTAAGGGTGCGACTGGGGAATTGGGCATGGGGCTCAAACCTCACCCGGTGGCCCAGTCGAACCAGGCGACAAGCCAAGAGCTCCCAGCCAGCCGGAAGCCCGCGGCGAGGGCAGGAAGGCGCGCAGGGGCGCAGCGAGAAGAACCGAAGCCAAGACCAGCGCCACAGATCCCCAACGATTGCGCCGCCCCATGGCTGCTAGAAGGCAGAGAAATCGGATCAGCAAAACCGGGCTGCAAACAGATGGGGATGAATTTCGACACTCTGGAGCTACCGGGCACATGCTGTATGGAGGCATGCTGTACGCTGTGCCTCTGGGCGGTTGATGAATCCTGTCAGGTGAGCGGCTGGGCGTGAGCCAAAGGGCTGTGCAGTCAACAATCAGCAAGCAAGTGCGCAGCTAGAGCCCAAATTCTCGTCTGATAACTTCCAGCCCACTGAAAACATATTGCAGGGCCCACTCCTTTGCTTCACAAGTAGGGACCCTGGAAGGCAGTGCATGGCCTCAACCAAATCAAGTCCTGAGGCCTCAATCATCAATAATATTCAGAGAAAGCGCTGTGCGAAAGCCTGCAGGACAAAATGAAATGTCCAGGCCGCAGGGATGCCGAAGCAACATTTCAAGGGCTCACGAATCCTGACTTACCCAGAAAAACGGGCCGAGCCGCTTCGTGGGCTGGGGGCCGGTCAGCCTGACAAGCTGCCAGCTTGGCACTTCCCTTCGATGGGTTTCCCTTGTAGCCGAGAGAAAATGGGGAGGCTCCCCCCTTTGTAACAAAACACTTCAGGACTGCCTCGACAAGGGCCGCTCTTCCGATCGAACGGCGCAGTTGACGCCACCCATACTCTGCATGGAGTCTTCCAACATGCCAGCCCATGCCAGCCTATATATGATTGTCATCGGGCTGTGGTGTCCGACAATGTCCAACTCAACTCACACACCTCCCACCCAGCATTGAACTCTGCCCAGGCACAAACCCGTCCATGAGGTCCTCGGACACGGCACATGGCTTGAGGCCAGGTTTGTTCTTCTGAGCCCCCCCCCCCAACTTTTGCCCTGTTCACCTCCTGGCATTTGGGATTTTGCACACGTCGCAAAACATGAAAACCCCTTTAGGCACGCCTAGTCAACCAGAGACCTGCTTGCTCGCAGCAAGGGCTGCTTGTGCAACATGCTGAGTATCCCCATTGCACCAAATAAGTAGTGAGAACTTGGTTGCTGTTGCCTCCTCTGCAAAACAAATATATCTAAACTTTTTGTGGGGTTCAATGGAAAACCCTTGATTTCCCAAAAAGTTAAGGTCTAAAGATCCAACATCAAGATAACGAGTGGGCGGTTGGCGGCTCTCAAGTCACATCGACGCCATGATGAGTTGCGGACTTGGTTCCCGAACATGTGAGCCACGGTCAAAATCACACATTTCCCCAAGAGGACATGGACAACTTAACAAGAGTTGCAATTTTGTCATTTGTTTTGAAGCAAAGTTGCCCACTGCAAAAAGGTTTCAGCACCCGGTAAAACTAAAAGCTGCCCAAACATGAACACGCCAAATGATGCCCGTTCTGCATCGATAAACCCTCAAGATTGTCTGATCATTCTAGTCGGAGTCGGGGCCAATATGTTTTTTGTTGATGGGAAAGCCTCTGACTAGTAGGGCCATCCAGATTCATCCGAAGCATTCAAACGAATGCACATGCCGAGGGCTGGGCAAGCCACAAAGTTTCCGATCGGAAAGATCATGTCTCGCAAGCACCCAAGGGCGCAAGGCTACCATGGATGTTGCCCGGGCTAAGGCATCCGAAAAGCGAATCAGGATCAAACAGGTTAAGCTGCATAGCAACAGTGGCGGTAGATAGTAGCACAGCAGCGCAATACTACTGAGAAAAAATAATAATTACCAGTAGTAGTCGTAGTAGCGACAGTAACTAGCACCACCAATAGCAGTCAAAGTGGCATGGTTGAATGCAGTGAAGAAACCAATCATAGTAACAGCGGCAGTGCTAGAAACAACAGTTACACTACTCGGAAGATAACAGCAAAAGACGGAGGGGAAGAAGCAAGAGTGGCAGTAGCAATGGTAAAAACTGCAATCATACTCATCAGTGGTGAAAACAGTAACAGTAGCAATAACATGAATGTTGCAATAGCGGCAGGAGAAATACTAGCGGTTGTAGGACTGCAAATAATAGTAGTAGGCTAGCAATACTAGGAACCATAGCAGGACTCTGTCCTTTTCGCCAGCTCCGCACCACATACTATCTTACCAACGCTCATTTCCTCCAGATCAGCCTGTCCATATCTCTCTTTGCGCCGGCTCGTTTTGCTTCTTTCCCTGCGCGGTCTTTTTGAAGCGAGGGGCGAAAGTGATGCCCAAAGGCGTGCCGTAGGGATCCACGTCCACGCCCACGGTGTAGCAGGCGCCGGGCACTGGATCGAGGGAGCCAAGCCGAAGGCACCGGCAAGCGACCCCATGGCCACCAGGAGTCTTTCACGAAGCTTGAGTGGCCACCAATGAAGCCGCAAACCCCCTTATAGCCCCAAAGTCTGGTGAGCATGGCAGAACAGTGGGGTCCTCAACCTGTGCTGCAGGAATTAGCCATGCCCCTCTCCTGGGTTTGCCGCTGGAAGCTTTGGTCGGGGTGGGGGGAACTAAAGGCACAAACAATGTACTGTAAGTGCAAAGGAGGCATTGACATACCGTGACGAACCTGGACATCATTGCCAACACATCTTGTTCAGTTTTTGCGTTTGCTTCAAGTTTTCAGGGTGATCCAAATGGAATCCATGTTGCAGGTTCCCTCCCCCATTTTCACACAAATTCCTCTTGACCAACACAGCCAAGGACTAAGGCTAGGCCCAAGCCCGCTTCGCTTGCACACAAAGTCCCTACGACAGCATCACCAAAGATGCGGAGAAAAGATGACCTTTCCCACCCCCAAAAAGGGTGTCTTTGTTTGAGGATACCCGTTTTTTGATGGGCCTTAAAGGGAAACATTGAAAGGACAACCACAATTTTGGAGGGTCCCCAGAAAAAGACACGCCTAGAAGTAAACGATCGTAAGCGATCCGTGAGATTGCGATTGAGACCCGCCAAGCTGAGCCCAACCGCGACCTTGGTCCTCACTCGGGGTCAGGGTTTGGGTGACTTCAGGGAGAAACACTGCCCAACGGCAGACAAAACACAGCATGCACACAAATGCAAACAAGCAAACACAAAACCAAAAAAACGCAAGCGAGCAAACAAGCAAGCAAGCAAGCAAGCAAACAAGCCAAACAAACCAAAACAAAAACGAACAGAACAAACAAACAAAACAAGCCAAACCAACAAACGACAGAATAATTCAACAAACGACACAAGCAAAGCAAACAAACAAAATAATTAAGCAAACGACACAAGTAAAACAAACCAAGCAACTGCAAAAAACACCAAACCAAGCCAAACCAAGCCAAGCCAAGCCAAACTAAGCCAGACTAAGCCAAACAAACAAACAAACAAACAAACAAACAAACAAAGAAACAAAGAAACAAACAAACAAACAAACAAACAAACAAACAACAAACTAAGCCAAACTAAGCGAAACCAAGCCAAACTAAGCCAAACAAACAAACAAACAAACAAACAAACAAACAAACAAACAAACAAACAAACAAACAAACAAACAAACAAACACACCACAAGCGCGCGCACGACACGCACGCACGCCAGGCACGCTCACTCCCACACACCCACACACACACACACACACACACAGCCCCTTGCAGTGTTCTGTTCCCAAAGTGGCAAGCATGTGCGACGTGGTTGTTTTTCTTTACCGGGTGTCCTTCTTGACGTTGATTTCTAGAAGTTGAAAAAAAACCTTGTCGAAACAATCCTAGCAGCCAGGCCTTTTCTGCCCCGGCTTCACCAAGCTTGCGTACCCAGCCTGGCTCCTGCGGCAACTGGGTGTCCTGTCGGGTAGATTTCTGGGCTCAAACAGACATCTGGGTAAGGCCAACAGAAGCTCCGTCAGGCTGGGTTTCCATTGTCTGTCTGCAAATTCGGGGCCATGGGCCAGAAAGGGATCACAGCAAAAGATATGCATGGACCTTGGGCAGTTATAGGTAGCACATGTGCAGGTACCAAGTAAAGTTCGCATACCTCTGCTCGCCTTGGAATCCTGCTTTCGCGGGGGCGAGGTGTTTGGGGCGGGCAAAGAAAGGTGCCACTCCATTGCACCGCGTCACTGGCGCAGGTGGCGCCATGGAACGTATGATCTTTGCAGAAATACATCTGGACGATGCAAGCTAGTAATGGCCGGCACTACGATCCGCTCTTGACCGTGACCATCATGCGAGCTCAAGCTTTTTCATCACCCATAGGTCCATAATTTCAAAGCCAACTTGACCCTCGGGACGCGGCAGTGGCAAAAAGTTCTGGTGACTTTTGGCTGCCTGGCGCAACAGCAGCCTTTTCGCTTCCATCAGGCTCACAGCCGGCGGCAATTTTTCAGATGGCCGCGGCTTCACCCAGGCACCAGGACCCGGCCCAAGAGGTTTTTCCGCAAACCTCTAGCGGCTTTACATGCCAGTTACCGCCTACCACTGTAGGCAGCGTCGTTTCACCCGGCTTCGTATGCCTTCCCCTGCAAGCTCCAACCGAAGGGCAAGATGTGTAATTTCGACGCCTATGCCAGAATGAGCGGCCTGATTCAAGTCCTGGGCTTTGTGTTTTAGTGCCGAGGATCCTCATGCCGGGCGAATTCAGCGCAGGGTTGGCGCCCAAGGCGCAGCGCCCATAGGGTCGCCGAATTGGCGGCTTCACAAAATGATAGACCCCTTTTTTAAAAAGGCAAAGGGACACCAGGAAAAAAATGGCTCCCCTATTTTGAGAAACACAAAAATTGTTAAGAACTCATCAATGAAATCAGTCTAGTCTTATCTGGTTGAAGAGATGTGTCTTTGACCCAAAGGGATCTCCCATGCCTAAATGCTACAGGCTGAACGTTAGAACCGGCAAGCAAAGCCACAATCACGGCCGCCTCGGGCCAAGCTGCATTACAAGACTGAAATCAAATACCCCCCGCAAAAAGTAAGTGCGAACAAAGTCCTAAGTGTGGCGAATTGGGTCAGAAGCCCCATAGTCTGTAAACAGCGGAATCATGGTAAATAAGCAACAAGTGGCACCCGCGTGTGAAACACACTGTTATCAAATGGCTTTACCACCAGCCTATGTTTTGCAGACCTGGCAAAACAACCCGAAGCAAATTGTGGCACCGCCCAAGCGATGGGCGCTGCTGCCGAGGCAACTCCCGTACAATTCCTTTCGTACCCTAAGCGGATCCTGCGGAATTTGTGCCGCTTCTGCCCGCGGACCTTCAACATAACCTTGGAATTGGCTCTTGGGGGACTGACGCTGCCTTTGATCTCTTCACGCGCATGATTCCAGAACTGGCATGTTTTGTGTGTTGCTTCAGGAAGGCATCCCAGTAAACAAACTTGCGGTAAGTACTGCCATGCAGCTTCTTAAAAAAAGGACCAACAATTGACCTCTTTTTTCACCTGCAAGGTTCCCCAAGGGAACCAAGTCCGAAGGTCTACCCAAAAGGTAAGAGACTCATGCGGCGCCCCTTCATGTCGGCGATCATCTTCTTGGCCTTGATCGCCTGGTTCGCTCGGCTCGTGAGGATAGTGGTTGCGAAACCACCCCTCGACAAGCGGTTCAATTTAACCAAACCACAAAGGGTTACGAGTTATTCCCCTGCATGGTAAGATGGAACCCGCCAAACAACCATTGGTCGAGGAATCTCCTTCTTGGGGACTCCGTCTTTGGAACCAGCTCACAGCACCCGGGAACAAGTTGCAAAGCGTACACCTTGCCTTTGGCATGGTTGCCAAAAAGTGGAACCCAAAAGGGTTGCAGGTCAATTTGGACAGAGCGAAATGTCCAGGTCAAAGCAAAGACGTATAATATTTGGTAGCTGTGGCCTTCAGTTGCTGCAGCCTTTTGTGGTTGGCAAATTGGGGTTCCAAGGAAAGCACAATCACATCTCGGCAACCAACTCCAACCGCTTGAAAAGGATCTCCTTGAGCTGGGGCAAGACCACCAGCAAGTGACAAAGTGGGAACGAAAAAAGCGGCAATGCGATGACCTTTCTGCAAACTTTGGGAGGCAATACCCGTACTGAAAACATGATAGCCGCAGCTGCAAATGGGGTGCCGTAAACAACTGTGAATCATAGGGCGGAAAAATGAGAAATACTTCTGGGCAAGGGCCTTCACGTTCCCCTTTAACGCAAATGTCCCAAAACATGAGATCGAAGGGGCAGGTTGGGCCCATCGCCCAACCCAAAACATGATTAAACCACGCTTTGACTCAACATGGGTGTGTGTGTGTGTGCGTGTGTTTGTTTGAAGCTTGATACTCTTTATTCAAGTTGGTTCAAATGGAAACCAAAAAGGAAACACATGCATATTCGGCTCCCCGATTTGGCACATACCCATCTTGTAAAGGAAGGCCGTTTTTGCATCGCCTTTCCTGGAAAGTTTACGGGCCATCTAGCACCCTGCTCCGCCTGCTCCCCCAACCAAAAAACAACCTAAAACAGAAATCGAACCGCATTCGTTGGGAGGCCCGGTTCGGTTTGGGAGCGTTCCACCCAAGGCGCGTTCATGAGGCGGCGGTTCCTCTTCTTCAACTTCTTCGAGCCTCGGACGCGCGCTACAGGGCCTTGTGCAGGATACTGGTTGGGTGGACAAGTGTTGACATTTTTTCCGGGTGCCTGTGCAATTACCCGAAGTCGGAACTCGTTTTTGCCACCACCACAATCTGTACGCAAAGGTCAAAGCCCGCAAGCGTGGGAAACCGATTGGGAAGGATCCCTGGGCACGACATCCGAATCTTGCAAGAGATTCAAATGCGTAGCCTTGTCACATTTTCCGGCTGCTTGCAGCCTTGAGGACACCCGGGGATGCACACTTCCTTTTAAAAGGGCATACGTGCACCTCGCCCACAGGGCCTGCAATACAACAAAACAACTGGCCGGGGGTATATATCTGGCTCAGGGATCAGCCAGACTGACTTGCAAGAAAAGCCACACCTTGAATCGCGGTTTCCAAAGAGCAACCCGCCTGGAAAAGGAAGGAACGGAGCAAAAGGGGTGGAGTCCAGCGGGCAAGGCATTCACCCTACCAACTGAATCTCTGGCCAAAAAACCTGGTCTAACCATTGCTTTAAAGGGCGGGGGTCTTAAAATGGGGAAACCAGAATAGCTGATTTCCTGTTAGCGTCCCTTTAAAACCAACCTAAAGGGAGTTCCCAAAACAAAGAGGCTCACCTACAGCCGGGTGTGACACATGGGCCTTGATGGGACATAGCATCCAATTCCGGCCTGAGGCGTCACTTTACGGCTCTCAGAGAATGAGGGAATGACCCCTGAACCATCCCTTCCGGCTGGATCCATAGGTTCCAAAATTGTGAACCCCCTGGAACCAGCAGGTATATGAATTAGGAGCACGCTCCTCAAAGAATGGTGGTTCTACTTTTGCTTTCCCCTAAAACCAACTTAGGGCGCCTCCAAAAGAACCACCCCCCGGAAAACCCCACCCCCGGAAAACAATATGTATATATATATATATAACAAAATACATGGTTTCCCCCCCCCCGTCCCCCCGCCCCCTAAAAAAGGAAAAAAACACAGAAGAAGGGGCTGACGTGTTTCAACCAGGGCACGGAAAGCTTCCATGTAGAAGGGGTCGTCCAGGTTCAGCGCCACTTCCTCCGCCTCTCCGTCGTCCTCGTCGTCCACGGTCCGCTGCCTTTCCTGGATGCCCCAGTTGCCCTTCTCGTCCTTCGCCAGCACCAGAGGAAAGAACACCCCGTTCTTGAACATCATCATGCCTGCAGTTCGGAGGAGGAGCAGATGGGTCAAACGTTGGTGTATAGTCTGATACTAGCTGCCTTGGCAACAGAACTGGAGCACATGGGTCAAATGGTGGTGCATATTCTGATGCAATAGCTGCCTTGACAACAGAAAGGAAATCAGCATGTAAAGGTTCACAACTTGGGACATGTGGGTGTGCTAAAGTAGACTCCAAGAATGGTGGTTCTCCTTTTGGTTTCCCTTCAAACCAACTTAGGGCGCCTCCAAAAGAACCACCCCCCCATCACACAGAAATCAGCATATGTGGAGGCGCCCCTAAAGCAGCTTAGCTTCAGCATATGTGGAGGCGCCCCTAAATCAGCATATGTAGATGTGAGGGGGTCGAAAGGGTCGCCGATGTTTGGGCAGTTGCTTCTTCTTCTGCTGATTCATCATGCCAGCTTCAGGCAAGTTCATGCTGTGCTTGTCTAATTTTGTCGCGGAACGCAAGTCACAAACACGCAAACAGAGCGAGACTTGTCCATCCAGTGTGCCACTAGGGGGGGCGGGGGCAAGTTTGCCGTCGGGGGAGGATCCTACAAGAGACCCTTGGCTCCTGAACTTTGCGAAAGCCTCTTTGTTTTCCCTGGCGGGTGTGGAAGCACAAGTGATCCTCTAAAAGCGAGCTGCCTGAAATCACGTTTTGCCAAGCCCGGCCATCTACATCGCCCCATGCCGGTTTGGTCCGGTCCGCGCTCAAAATTGAGCCTAACAGAGAAGGCAAATCGGAAAAAGCCTCCCGTCTCAAAAGCAGGCGCCCCTCGTTGCCATGCGGAGGATAACGAGAGAAAAAACAGGGTTCCTGGCTTTTAAGACAAAAGGGAATTCGCAGGCTGGCAAAAACAGGAATCAACAAAAACAAAAGGATCAGCCACATGTTGCTCTATGCAAAGTGTCGCGTGAATAAAAAGGACACCGCCCCCCCCCCCAAAAAAAAAAAAAAACGCGTTGGGGGTTTGGGGGTTGGGGGTTTGGGGGGCTTTGGGGGGTTTGGGGGGTTTGGGGGTTTGGGGGTTTGGGGGGCTGGGGGGTTTGTGGGGTCAGGGCTTT